TACTTTTGCGATCGTTTTCCATCACCCATCTTCCAGTGAGGAGATGCTTGAACAAACGCAAGACTCGTCCATTTTTGATGGGATTCCGCTCTCGTATTTGGTGTTTTACGACCCTCTCGAAAGAAGAAAACGTGGTCTTGATCGAACTGCTATGGAGACGTGCTTTGCTATCGTCGACATGGCTGTGTCTACAGAATCCGTAAGTGTTTCGTTGTACTTGTTGTGGTTTATGTCCTCACCAAATTTTACTGTGCACCAGCACTTCAAATATTTCAGATTATCAGCGCCAATCTTTGCTGGCGACTGTTAACCGTCTGTCTGGAAGGACTTCAGTTCTGCCTAGCAGAGGTATGCTTTGTTATTCTGTGACACTACCATCTGTGTTCATGGTAGAGGTGTTATAGTGGAGAGTGGCACGTTTACCACGCGAATGGTTCTTGAATCACATCCCAAATACGCTCCTGTTCGGGTCATGGAAGCCTTCTATTGCTCTAATGGCGGAAGAATGGTGCGGGACCTGCCTGAGATAATAAGAGCGCCAACCTACAACATGTCCCCTTCCCTCCCTCATGTCATTGTCTTCCATATAGCATTCAAATGCCATTACGATTCTGAATGAAAGTAGAATGCATGGCGCATCTTGGGTTAATCAACGCTTTTACGGCTTTTTGCGTTCGTGATTGAAGGTCGAATCTGGGAGAGATTGCTTAGTGCGGACCATATTGCCCTTTTTGAGTGCGATGCCTCTCTTACAAAGTTGCCAAGTAAACTGAGCGGAGTGCGCCATGTAAGCGGCATTGAACCACATCACGCTGATTGTGTGGGCGAAGGTGCTGGTTCTGTTGCGCTTTCCTGCTCTCCACCATCTCCAAAGAGACCTCTCTAAAAATGGAGACGAACCAATGGCAAGGATGCAATGGTCCAAAGTAACCACACCCACACTGTCAGCACAGAATGTGTCTTTAAGCCTGAGTTGCCTTGTATTTCAGACGCTGAAGCTGTTCAGAAGGGAACAAATTTCCATTGATCTCCAAATGGATATAGAACGTCTTGGGCGTTATCTCATCAAGAGAGGTGTTCTTTTGTGAGTACTTGTTTTGTAAGGGTTTTTCGAATATCTCTTTAAAGGCATGAGTCTCGAAGAGATAAGGCAACACATACGAGTGGGATGGATCTACAACACAATCGCTGCCATGAATTGATGTGAAAGCGTTTTATACTTCATGACCTCCGTCGCCCGAGTGGGAAGAGACCTATTAACCGCCATTGTATCTCATCCGATTAACTTCTACTAAACATGCCCATCAGAGCTGATTTTGTTTATTTCCCGAAGTTCAATATGTTTGCAATATGCTGCTATACTCGTTTTTACTTTCCATACATCGCTACGGTGCCGCACATCGCTTAAGCCTTTGTCTGCTTGAAGTTTTTAATTTAAGTAATGTCACGACGTCAATGGATGCAATGAACAAACTTTGCTAATTAAACATGATGGCTAAGGGTGTTTGTACTTGTTGTTTGCTCTTGTAGAAGCGTGAAATGTACGATCTCCGGCTCAGTGGGGTACGGGTGTGTATAAAGGGACCACCATACAAATTAATTGTCACAAGATGTCTGGGAGCATTCTACAGTCAGGTTGCTAACTATAGGTAATAAACGGAACCTGAAGACGGATACAGCATTTACCTGCAGGATGAATTATGAATGATAGTCTGCTATTCTGTACAACAAAAGCGCGCGGAAATGAAGCAGGAGTATTGCGAGAGGCAAATCTTTTCTATGTCTGCGTCCGTTGTTAACCACATCCCGGACCACCGTTGTGCGAGGGCTTCCTCATCATTTCTCTTTAATTTTCAAATCGACAATCCATTATTTTATCTGTTTCTTTCACATTCCATTCCTATTTCATTCCTGTGCCTGAAGAACGTGTCGTGATAATTTTGGAGCATGAACAAGATGCCAAATAGACCATAGGAAACGGGAAGAGAGGAAAATGGGGAGACGGCAAAGAGGATCGTAATTTGCCGCTCCGCCGCGCGCGGCGATGGCGCGGCGTTTTCTTAACTCTTGTTAACCTGTCGATTGGAGCACCGGACTTCATGTAGACCCCGTCATCGTAGACATTCATGGCTATTTTCAGTTCTGCATTGCCTGTTGTCGCCATCTACTACCTGGAACCATCGTTATTTGCGGGCGCGACGTCGCACGCGACGCCCACCAGCGCGGCGAATTACGATCCTCTTGTCACATACCCGAGGAGAATGCACGACAAACCATGTGTGTCACGCAGTTCGGAAAACGCGTTGCGGCCATGTTGCCATCACGTTGGCTACACATCTCACTCTAATGAGATGGCACCACGCTTTCAAAGGAGACTTCATGATGAGCCAGCGAAAAATAGGTAGCGGGAGTAGGAACAAAAGTGGATGTGCTAGTAGACTTGCTCGTGAAGAAAAAAAGGAGGAAAATTTTCAAAATCGCTCCAGTTAGGACCCTACTTCTGTCAAGCGAGAGAGCATGCAAGATGCAGATAAGGCATCTATTCAACGTGGGCGGGGTCGCTTGAGCAACGTTGTGCCTTGCCGCTACCTTATCGCTTCCTGTGAAACTTACACAGAGTTGTTCGTTGCAGTCCAGACTACTTCTCCTTGCAACGAGCCTAGGTAATTATAAGTGATTGTGGGCTCTGCTT